AGTTGCTCTCTGTTTCCCTCGTTTACAAGTTGTGGCACAACGATCTGAAAGATGTCATTTTGTCCTACAGAAGAAACGAAATGGGATGTTATGATTCTTTGATTTTCTGGTCTGTGAAAGGACAATGGCATCTCCCCGGTTAGAAGCTCCAACAATACAATTCCAAAGCTATAAACATCGCTCTTATCTGTCAACTGGCCTGTATAGAGATATTCTGGATCAAGATAACCAAGTGTTTGCTGCACCAATGTCTTCATCTGGGATTCATTACTGGGGACCGGGACCAACCTTGAAGGACTAAAACCGGAGACTTTGGCCACAAAACAATCAGTTAAAAGTATGTTCGAAGAGTTGACATTTCCATGAATGATCATTGATTTCAACGAGTCTACTGCTGAATGCATATAGGCAAGAGCAGTTGCAGAGTCTGAGGCTATCTTTAAAAGGACATGCCAAGGCAATGCACTCTTGCCTTTAGCATGATGAATGTAGTCGAACAAGGTCCCATTGCAAGGGAATTCATAGACTAACATGGGAGCTTCAGTCTCTAAGCAGCAGCCCAAGAACTTCACCACATTTTTATGGTGAACTTTGGCAAGAGTGACGATCTCATAGATAAAGTGCTCGATTTGGCCCTCGTGCACTACTGTTTTCCTCATGTCTACAATCGCACCGTCTGACAAAACTCCTTTGCAATCTAATGCACTTTCTCCTAGACAAAACTTATGACTCTGGTTATAATAGGCAGCGGCCGCCTCTAGCTCCTCGGCTGTAAAAACTTTTGTGCTTCCATGTGAAGCAATATGCTGCTCTAACAATAACCCTCCATTTTGCTGGAAGAACTTGGCTTTGAGATTAAGGAACTTCCGTTTCTTCACACTGGAATAAACCCCAGTGATCCCAAACGACATAAATAAGCAAAAAATGCCAAGACCTGCAAGTTTAACTTTAATTATATACTAACATATGCATCACAACTGCTAGCAAATTAAACAAATTAAATTTTATGTATTATCAAGTATGCTAGAGAGAGAGAGAGAGAGAGAGAGAGAGCAGGGGAATTAATTGCGGATGTACCTAGAGTGAGCTTTACCGGAAAGACTTTTTTGTGTTTGATGTAGCGTCTGCCAGTTTTCCTATGGTCATGACTATATGTCTGGTTTGCTTTTGAAAAGCGATAATTATATTTTGATCGATTCACTCTAATCGTTGTGTCTCCTTCTAAATCAACGAAGTTCTGTAACGTATACATATAGACTCGTTATAAAAAATAAATAAATAAAAAATTGATGTTAATTTTTTTCAATTGTTATACAAAGGAGGTCAAGAAATTTTACCCCAAGATATACGGGAAAGATCAGATCATCATAGTAAGCGTAACCACTGCAGATGCCATCAGGATTTGCGAAGGGAATGGGGCCATCGGGATTACTTGTTCCTGAGAATGGTTCTGGATTTATTGGCCTGTAGGAAGTGTTACAGTTTATTATGTCAGGCCAGCGTACGCCTGCAGTTCCGAAGCTGGTGTTGGAGTTGGCTTCTGATAGCGGCGCCAACAAAAACAATGATATTAAGCTGAACCAAGAGAGTTTGCGCAGGAGATGATGTCCAAGTTTCAGAATCATCCTTTCCATCTCCATTTTTATCTTCCCCTTTATGTTTCCTAACATATTCTTTCTCTCAAGTCTCCGCTAGCTTCTAACTGAAATAGTGGTTTATACAAAATTTTGAGGGATCAATCTCCTTGTCTCCATCCATGTGTGTTGACAAATGCACTTGCGCTCCTCCTTCCTCGTTTCTTCCATTCACGCGGCATTGAATATCTTGCTTTTTTCATTCGGAGGACACGGTTAAGCTTAAGTATTATAAGCATGTGATTAAAGGACGCCTGCTCCATCGTGGTCTCTTCCTTGTGCAGACTAACTTCAACGATTTAAATTGTCTATTTTGTATGTCTCAATTAATAGATCATTCTTATGAAAATTCAATTCAACCCGAAACCATTTGCCTATATTAATTATCACGATGAAATTTCGTTGTTTTTAATAAAACAAAGTATTCGTTAATTTCTTTGAACCCAATTATATGTCTTACTTCCAATTTGGCTAATATTTTGCAAAGATAATCCATGAGGTGCAACTTGAAAAATAGACGGAAATTTTAAAATATCATATGAACTTATACGCCATTCACAATTTGTCTTATAAACTAAAATTTAAGCGATTGTCATATCAATATTCCAAAATTATTATTTTGGCATATCACTTTAACTCTGTTAAATTTCCAAATAAATTGAGTTCAAAGTTATTTTGGACTTTTGACCTCCTTTTCACATAAGTTATTTTTTATTTTTTCTATACAAAAATACATTTACACTAAAGGATGAGGGAATTGATTGGTTTCAGACCTAGGAGTTTTTGTTAGTAAAAAAAACATGTTGCATTGGTTTCAAAAGCTTATGATGAACCACTAAAATAATATATTAGGCTCACTAATGTGAAGTTTAGCTAAGTAAAATATTTGAGAATTTAACGTGATCAATCATGTCGATAAAAAAATAAAGCTAAAATGCCTAAATATTGATATGCAAATAACTTTAAATTTTGGATGAAAAACTTAACGGAGGACGAGCATGACAACATGAGCTTCAGATGGTCTAATTTCAAATTTTGAGATAGGGTCTAAGAATTTTTGTCGGTTTGGAGGGCTTTAATCCCTGTCCCCATTATGGATTCGAAAATGGCAGCATGAGCTTCAGACGATATAATTGGTTGGAGTAGCGCTGAGGCGGTGGTTGCTGGGAGTGATGCCATAACTAGTTGCAAGGACGATGTTAGAAATTTATTTTAATAGGTGCATCTAGAAAAATAACTAAGAAGACTTTATTATAGGATAACTTATAATCCAATATGATATCAGGAATGATTTCAAATGATAGTGTATCACAATTTCAATAGTAAAAAAATTTCAGTCTAGTGGTAGTGGAAACTAGCAAAGTGATGAGAAAAATATTACTACATAATAGGGGGAGAGAGTTTTTCGGTTTGAATGATTAAACAAGTTCACTTTTGCTCATATAATATTTGATATGGAATGAAGTAGTATGAAGGTATGTTGTACATTAAATACATATATTTATTACAAAAATAACGCGTGTATATTATATAACTAAAGTCTACAATTTAACAAACGAATTACTTTACTAGAGACATCTGCCAAAATGACGCTTGATTGAAGCGGAACGCCCTTATCCTTTCTCATAAAACCCAAGTAAAGTAATGAGTCGCCAGTATTAAAAGCCCAAAAGTGTCAGCCCAAGTTATAAGTGCCGCTAAAGTGCCGGCCAGCAGTGCCAACTTGGATCCAATAATATTCGAGCAGATTCTCGAGGTTAAACCCAGATCAGATATCCCTTTCAACCTTAGGAGAAAAATTGAAAAAACAAAAAAGAAGAAAACAAAAAGAAAATTCCTTCTTTCCACCCTGTAAAAAGAAATTTCAAAAAAAAAGAAAGAAATTTCAAATCCAATAAAAAGAGGGGCCAATCACAGGTTGACAAATGACAATAAAGCAGCTTCGACAAGCGTCACATTCACGCACACCGACCGGCCCCACCTTTCTTTTTATTTTTTTTATTTTTAAATTTCAGTCACAATTCTGAAAACCCTGCATATTTTCCCCGTGTACTCACATTCACGCTAATTATTATATTTACATGAAAACTTATCAAAATATTTTATATTATTTGATAAATAATTGAACAGAAATTTACTTTTGGAATATGTTAGAGATTTAAATTTTTTTATCCAAATTTGTAAATCAAATAACGTATCACTAATAGAAAATAAGCATGTTAATCGACACTAATTAAAAATTTAAGCATCAACAACCTCAAATTAAGTTTACATGATTTAATTTAAAATTTTGATTTCCTTAGTATAATCTTTACTTTGTGTGTGTGTGTGTGTTTTAGAGCAAAAGTCCATTTACTCATATAACAATAGGACTTGCTTGCACAAGGTATGCCAATGTGGTTACATAATACATCAACAACAAAAACATTATGTATTATTGTATTTTAGTTTCTCACACGATAGTGCGTTATGGTATAGTTGATAATCACAATTTGACAGATCCAATGTATATTAATCGATAATCATAATTGGCTTTATCTTCTTTTTCATTGTTATGTGTACCATTGAGAGATTATTGGATACATATTATCGTGCCACATCACTTGTCCGCTTGACACACAAAAGACCCCTTCGTTTAGGTGTCATGTATGCCCATTTTGATGAGAAAAAAACTTAAGAAATTATGATCACATCATTTATAAGACACTTCAAAAATTATGAGACTCTTTGTATTTATCTCACTTGCAGCCCCACATTTATCACTCTCTTTGTGAGAGTTGTCCTAACAACGCAGTCCTATCAAAGATCCACATCCATTTTGAAGGACTAAAATGTTTTTTGTTTTTACGTTTTTTGTTTTTTTATTTTTATTTTTTAAAAAGGACCACTTCCATTCTTATGGGATCGGAAAGACTCACAGATGCATTTCAGTCTCTCATAATCATCATTGTGTAATTTATTAATGCTAGAAATTTCAAGACTTACGGAATCAAACTCAAATGTTGGAGGTTTCTCTTTTGTGTTGTGAGCGGATAAGTTACGTGAAACGAAAGCCCAAGTCAAGAATTTCTTGTATTCAATGGGGTGGAATGCTATATTCTAGGGCTCACCGATGAACAATTTTTGGTCAGGCACGCACCAGCAACAACATTTATACCACCGCACACGGACAAACAAAACCCAATAAATAAAAAGACGGAGAGGAGTGGAGGCAAGCAAACACAAAACGGAATAAGAGGCCGAAAATTCAAACCCACAGGGCCACAGCCTATATCTATCCTCTACAATTACAAACGCAACACCGAACCAACTCGTCACTCGCTCTATCACTCGCCCCGCTCTCCTTCTCTCCTACGCCACTACCACTTCTCTACTGCTTCATTTTCAAGCTGTCTTTATTTCCCTCCCCCCTTCTCTCTCTCTTCTTTTTCCCCTAATTAATATATAAATAAATACCCACACACCCTTTCGCTCCTTCCTCAGCACTATTCTCTTTACTTCTCTCTCTAGAATCTTTTCTCTCTCCTAGGGTTTCGGTGGCTTCCGGTGTCTCTATTTCCTCCTCTCCACACTGCTTTCGCGCTCTAGGGTTTATCGGCTTGGGTGTCTACGATCGTCCTTCCTTCTCTCTCTCCCCCTTTCTCACTCAGTGGCTATGGCGGCTGAGAAGCTAAGGGACTTGAGCCAGCCGATTGACGTTGGCCTGCTCGATGCCACCGTCGCCGCCTTCTACGGCACCGGATCTAAGGAGGAGGTGAGTGATTGCTGCTCCTTTTCTATCTTTGCTTTCTGTTTGTTTTCCGACCAAGTGTGCTCAATTTGCAAGTGCAATCCGGGTTTTGTGCCCTGGGGTTTAAGCTTTCTGTTTGGGTTTTTAGAAGTTGAGGGGAAATTTGAGTTCTCAGACCTAGGGTTTAACTCTTGAAAACCTTCGTTTGGGGGAGTTTTTACTTTAGGGGAAATTCTGGCCTAGCTTCAATGTCTTTTAGCGGGGGAACATTTGAGCGTTTGATGGATTACTGCACATTAGCTATCTGCCTATTTTTGGGGTTGTTTAGTTCGGTGGGTTTGGAAGAGAGATATGTTAATATTGTGTGTTCTCAAATAATTCATGAACTATTAAGTGAATTGGTAATTGGCTTCAGTGTGAAATTTTGAATGATCAATCTTTCATCCTCTACACTTTCGGAACTAAAGAAACCATGATTGAGTAATGATGGTGACCTGGTTATTCTGTGACTGCATTACATTATTCTCTTTGAGAAAATAAGAATGCATTGCAATGATTATTGAATACTTAATACCAGGATTGCTCTTTGTTTGAACGAACTAGGTTTACGAAAATATTTCAGCTTCCCTTACCAAAACAAAAAGTGAATGAAATGGGTAATGCTTTATCGATTAGCTTGTAGCGTCAAAATTAGGGTCCATATGGTATTTGGATAATGGATGCATTGGCAAATTATATGTGTAACTTGTAGTTTTGTGGGCCTTACTTCAGTTCTCCAAGTACTTTGTGTTCTTAGATTAATTTTGCTCCATGTGTTGACATTACAGAGGACAGCTGCAGACCAGATATTGAGGGACTTGCAAAACAATCCTGATATGTGGCTCCAAGTTGTGCACATTTTACAGAGCACAAAGAACCTAAACACCAAGTTCTTTGCCTTGCAGGTCAGTTGTGTTGCATAACAATCTATAACACAGCACATATACTTTTTGTATAACATGGCCACCGTCAGATGCCCAGACAGTCCTTACAGTAGGGCAGCGAGGCTGAAGCAGGCTTCAGACAGGCTTTTTAAAACAGCCAAAAATAGAATGCCTTTATGTGGTACAACAACAATAATAGTAATCAAGTTGACTGCTTAAGTGTGTATGTTGTCCTTTGTTAAACAAGGCATCATATAAAGGCTGCAGAATGCTTATACCATGTAATCTTGCTGCATATTCATTAGCTTTCTCATAGTTTGATGCTTTGGATAAAGATTCTATACAGCTTCCCATTACGACCTGTATAAATCTTTCTATTCGTATTTTAAGGTGCTGATCTTAAGAGGTTTTCTTTGCATCCACATCTAGGTCTTAGAAGGGGTTATCAAGTACAGGTGGAATGCATTGCCTGTTGAACAGCGAGACGGAATGAAAAATTATATCTCTGATGTCATTGTACAGGTATGAATCATGGAGTAAATATATGAGGATTGCAAGTTTTTCTCATTTAGATAGTCGAGCAGTAAATTTTCTTTCTTACCATTGGTTCCTTTCATGAAGCTATCAAGTAATGAGGCCTCTTTTCGAATGGAAAGACTTTATGTCAGCAAACTCAATGTTATATTGGTTCAGGTATTTCCTTGTTCTCTCCCATTAGGATTATTGCATTTTTTGCTTCTTTTTTTTTGTTGGTTTGTTGTATCAAGCACTTTGTTTTCTTTTCTATTTGTCTGTTGGCCTTTTCTATTACACAGTATCTGAAATTTACTTGGTATATTCAAATCTGTAATCGCTTGCTTTGGATATGTTTGTGATGTAATATATCAACATTACTCCATATACAGATTTTAAAGCATGATTGGCCCACTAAATGGCGAAGCTTTATTCCGGATCTTGTATCAGCTGCTAAAACTAGTGAAACCATTTGCGAAAATTGTATGGCCATATTGAAGGTAAGCATTTTTAATGTTCAATTTTAAACATTGAAATCAAATTTATATGGTTCATTGGGTCAGTACTAATTGCTTGAATGTTTTACCCTCAGCTTCTAAGTGAAGAGGTATTTGATTTCTCAAGAGGGGAAATGACACAGTTGAAGATTAAAGAGCTTAAACAATCATTGAACAGGTAATTGGCTGATGAATTTGGTATCTTTGTTTTTAATTGAATGGGCTTGTCTGACATGCCATACTTTTACTTGTCGATTTATTGGGTTTGTCCAATCTGTTTATTTATTCTTTTCTGTTTGATATTCTTTTTTCTTTTTCTTTTTTTCCAGTGAGTTTCAACTCATTCATGAGTTATGCTTATATGTACTATCAGCCTCTCAACGAACCGAGCTGATACGTGCAACATTATCCACATTGCATGCTTTCCTCTCATGGATTCCCCTGGGCTATATTTTTGAGTCCCCTTTGGTGCGTATAACACTTTTGTGTTGTTCTCGATTACCCTTCCAAAGGATTTATCCTTATCTTTCTATGTTGTGTCTGTATTTTACAGCTTGAAACCCTTCTGAAGTTTTTTCCCATGCCTTCATATCGGAATCTTACCCTTCAGTGTCTAACGGAGGTACATTGTTGTTCCATTTCTATTAAGAAATTTCATGGTTGTTGCACTTGTGCAAAAAGCAACAAGGATATCATGCGATATCGCTGCTTCCAATTATTTAGGCTTTATCATCTGCTATTTTGGTTTCAGGTTGCAGCACTTAGTTTCGGTGAATTCTATAATGCGCAGTATGTTAAGATGTACAGTATATTCATGGTGCAATTACAGGTGTGTCAATATATCCATTTTCATTTAATGTGTAGTTAGGAATACATGGGATGATAGTGGTGTGTGGATTGCACCACCCTTGATTTTTGGAGTGACAATAATAACCCTCTTTTTATATTGGAATCGAAAGTTTTGAAGAAAGTAACCAATAATTGATAACTATAAAGGCATAAGGATTGTTGGAGTAAGTATACTCACATAAATTGTGCATATTCTGATATGTTTACTCTTACAATATAATTTGACTTCCATCATTATCTTATTCTTTTCCTAATGCTTTTGAATTTTTTTTAATGGAACCAATTAGACTATTCTTCCACCCACCACAAACATACCTGAAGCTTACACAAATGGATCTGGCGAGGAACAGGTAAGTTTTGTCTAATGATTGTGGGCCCCAATTGTTTGTGTTAGTTTATTGAGCTAGTTTCTTATGATGTTGTTTTGTCAGGCATTCATTCAGAACTTGGCACTGTTTCTCACTTCGTTTTACAAGGCAAGTTTCTTCTCTTTCACATGAATATGTTGATGTAGTGCCTTGCCTTCACAAGCCTTAAGTTAATAGTTGTAAATGAATAATGTGACTAGTGATATGGTATTTGACGATGATATTTCTATCAACAGATAATGGATTTTGTGTCCAATATTGGGTATAGGATCGTCTGCTGTTTCCGTTTATTAATCCTTAAGCATCTGTTGAGGAGTGAAGACGTTACTGATTGTCTACGTATTCTTTTCTACAGGCGCATATTCGTGTTCTTGAAACCACACAAGAGACTATAGCTGCATTGCTGATGGGTCTTGAATATCTTATAAACATCTCATATGTGGATGACACCGAAGTTTTTAAGGTATGATTAATTGTGATGCTCTCTCTCTCTCTCTACCCCTTTGAACAGATGATTTTAAGATTTGACTTGGACTTGTTTGTTTTGACCAGGTTTGCTTAGACTATTGGAATGCTTTGGTTTTGGAACTGTTTGAGGCACATCATAATCTGGATAACCCTGCAGCATCTGCCAATATGATGGGGTTGCAGGTATTTGAATACTTCCATATTTATACTATTTGTTGCTTTGAGTTTCCGTTTTATTCCTACATAAGTGTATTCTAGTTCAATTGCAAATTTGTCATTTTGGATTTTTTTTTTTTTTATGTTCTACTTTGTAGATTTCCTTTTAATTCCGTTGCAAGAATAACTCGTCTCGTACATAGATGCAGATGAATTTGCTTCCTAGTATGGTTGATGGCATTGGCTCACAACTTTTGCAAAGGCGGCAAATATATGTTGGTATTATGTCAAAGTTGAGGTTGCTCATGATCTGTCGTATGGCTAAGCCAGAAGAGGTTATCATTGTTGAAGATGAGAATGGCAACATTGTTCGTGAGACCTTGAAGGACAATGATGTTCTAGTTCAATATAAGGTGATAAATCTTGTATTGCTGATATAGTTGTAATTTTCTAAGCTATCAAGCTCATGGTAAACTTTTCTTGTTATGAAATTATGGGTGCTAGTATCTTCTAGATGAAGTTTATTTGTTTTTCTGAATATAAAGAAGTAATAGAATATTTGATGACATGGTGGGGGATGCGAAAGAATTAGATAGCTTCTTTTCAGGTGTCATTGTCAAAACATCGTAGAGGTGTTCCTGTAATTTTGATTCAACATGATACAATGGGCGTTTTACCTTATGGTGCATTTGATTTTATTTTGGCACAAACTCAGTTTCTATGATATGCTTCTTTGTCTTAATAATAGAAAACTTGTGAATTATTTTTTATTTTCTCCCTTCAGTTTTTTCATACTTAATTCTGTTATTGGTATTATTCTGGTGTTGCAGATCATGAGGGAGACGCTGATATATTTGTCACATCTTGACCACGATGATACCGAGAAGCAGGTAAAGGGTAGTTTTTTCTTTGAAGTAAAATTAAACAATAACCAAGCTTCATTCTACTCGTTTGATTCCTTTGATGCATAACCCTGCAAGATGATGCTTGTAGCATTATGTTATCTTGCCTTGATAATTTTTCATATAATTTGAAATAGTCTTCTTTCATATGTGATCTAACTCATCATGCACCGATAATATTCCGTTTAGTATAATCTCTGTTGTGGGGAACCTCTAAAGTGGGCTAATATTTCCTATACAGATTTCCACTGATCTTTCTCTTTTCACTGACATTGGAAACAGATGCTAAAGAAATTAAACAAACAACTGACTGGTGAGGATTGGGCATGGAACAACTTAAACACATTATGCTGGGCAATAGGGTCTATATCTGGTTCCATGATGGAAGAACAGGTATGCATTGTCTTATTATTTGAGGAATTGACGGAAGACATTTTTTTTATGATGATTTCATTATATCTTATGCTTTTTCTACAGTTATTGTCCCAGAATGTGTTTTGATGCCTATTACCCTTTGCCCTTCGCAGGAAAATAGATTTTTGGTGATGGTCATTCGTGACTTGCTGAACTTGTGTGAAATCATAAAAGGGAAAGATAATAAAGCAGTTATTGCAAGCAACATCATGTAAGTATTTGTGGTCCTACATGTTATTTTAGCTTAAGCTATAGGTTCGCTGCCCTAAACGTGTTACCAATAGGTTTTGCTGACCTCTATTTTTATACTATAAATATCCTTATAATTGAAGCTTTGCTTTGTTTTCAGGTATGTTGTCGGACAGTACCCAAGGTTCTTAAGAGCTCATTGGAAGTTCCTAAAGACTGTTGTCAATAAGTTGTTTGAGTTTATGCACGAAACACATCCTGGAGTCCAGGTGAATTCTTTTATAATCATGTTTAAGGTTGCTTTTGAAATTTTAAACATAAAATGTACATGTTAACTGTTGCAAATTTTTTATGATATTGCTAGTGTTATTTAAATTTGTATGCTACTCTGGGACTGTCTTTTTCATTGGGGTGGTCTGGGGTATTCAGTTATATGCGCATATTTTTTAATATTAGTCTTCTATAACTGTTGTTGCATATGTTTCAGGACATGGCCTGCGACACATTCTTGAAAATTGTTCAAAAGTGCAAGCGTAAATTTGTTATTGTACAGGTATTCTCTCTTATAAGTTGGCATTTTAGAATTGTTCTTGTCATAGAAGTTGAAATTGTGTATTTTGAGAAAGTAATTTTGTATTGTGTGTTTCATTACTGCTTTTGTGATTATCAGGTTGGAGAAAATGAACCATTTGTGTCTGAACTCCTGACAAGCCTGCCGAATACTGTTGGCGATCTTCAGCCTCACCAGATTCATACTTTCTATGAAGCTGTATGCCTTTCTTATGTCCCTTTTTCTACTTAGTTATATATAAAAATTTGTTATAAACAATTGCATTTTTGTTTATCATAGGTTGGTCATATGATTCAAGCAGAGTCTGATCCCAAGAAGAGAGAAGAATATCTACAGAGATTGATGAGTCTCCCAAATCAGGTATATTTGGATATACATGCAATGTGCATGACTACTTGCAAGTCCTCAAAATAGCTTGTAGCTTATTATATTTGCTTGTTCACCAGAAATGGGCCGAGATCATAGGGCAAGCACGCGTAAGTGTTGATTTCCTGAAGGATCAGGAGGTAATTCGGACCGTGCTTAATATATTACAGGTATGATTTTTCAAATTTTGTTATTTAGGTATTCTGTAGTTGTTAAACCATATCGTGGATCATGGAGATGATGTTGATAAGATTATTGATGTAGCTTTATTGTATCTTGTTTTCTCTTCTCTCTTTTTTCTGACTGTTCTGTTGTCAGTTGATCTTGTTTATGTTAGATTCTGCGGTCTCTGTTAGGTGAGCTGTTGTCTTTGTAGACAGCATCTTTCTGTGAACTTTACTGCATCCTAAGTGGGCCTTATATGTGGTCCTTTTATCCTTTCCCTTACATACTTGGTGAAATCTTTACTTCTATTTTGCAATGATTGTTCATCCTACTGTGTCATATCAATATCAAATGTGATTGTTCTTGTGGCTTTAGCCACTGTGAGTACCAGGTGTAATTCTGTTGTTGATTTACAGACAAATACTAGCGTTGCGAGCTCCCTCGGGACATTTTTCCTGTCTCAGATCTCAATGATCTTTCTGGACATGCTTAATGTGTACAGGTATGGCCAATGTTTTCAGGTGTAGAAAGAATTTCAGATGTTTAATTTGGTTTCTTTCTTCATTAATACAGTTATTCTCGGCTCTATTTGTTTTGAACAGGATGTACAGTGAGCTTGTATCTAGTAACATTGCGGAAGGGGGTCCCTATGCTTCTAAAACATCCTATGTGAAACTTCTACGGTAGGACCGTTTGTACAAATTCCTTTTCAGTTTAACATTTAAACCTCAAGTACCATGTTTGATTTATTTCTCAACAGGTCGGTGAAGAGGGAGACTCTCAAGTTGATTGAGACATTCTTGGACAAGGCCGAAGACCAACCACAGATAGGAAAACAAATTGTGCCTCCCATGTTGGATCCAGTCCTAGGTGACTATGCTAGGAATTTGCCTGATGCTAGAGAGTCAGAGGTTTTGTCACTTTTTGCCACCATCATAAATAAGTATGTTACCTGCCTTTCTTTCATTATCTTGTATATTTTGCTTTTATTACTTGCTAGTTATGATACCGTCTGGCTAAAAACCACAGCCAACTAAAACAACTTGTAAGCTGCTGCCTACGTCTTTCTTCTGGCTAAGGAATTTGTTATTTTTTTCTTTAGTGTCTTCCGGTTGCTTATATTTGTATCCCTTGTTTATAGGTACAAGGGTGCAATGATAGATGATGTGCCAAGAATATTTGAAGCTGTTTTCCAGTGCACATTGGAGGTAAGGATGTGGCCTGTTCGGCAATGGTCCAGAAAAATTGTGAATTTTTTTTTTGTTAGTGTTCAAAGCAATATCAATAAAACTGCCATACATATAGATGCCGCATGCATTTGTCTGGTCTTGTGCTATCCTGTATGACATCATCTCTCTGTAGTTGTTTAGAAGTAGCTTATCGAATTATTTATTAATCTTTTGGAGTTGATGCGATCTTCAAGTAGCATAAATCAGTTATTTTGATTGCTTCTTCCACGACAGTGACACTATAGTTGGTGGCTGAACATGTTACCCTATATCCCAAGTTCTTTTTCGCTATCCCTTTCTCCATAAGCAGTAGGGGATATTTGGATCTGAGTGTTGGTGATATGCTTATTTGCATATCCTCTGATACCAAATAGTGTTTGGAGTGATGGCTAAATCTTAATATCATTAAAATTTGATTTTGCTGAACATGTTAGTATTCTTCCCAAGTCCTTATTTGCCATCCCTTTCTCCATAATGCATTGCTGAAGTGGGATTTTTGCATCTTGGTGTTGGTGTTGGTGTTATGTTATGTTGCATCCTCTGAGGTCTGAATCCGATACCGAAGAACCTCTGGACTGATGGCTAAAATTAGAAAATTTTAGTTGTACCTTAGTTGTTATCTTTACATGTCTTTATTCTGTACCCCTGCAGATGATCACCAAAAATTTTGAAGATTACCCAGAACATCGCTTGAAGTTCTTTTCTTTACTTCGTGCCATTGCTGCACACTGCTTTGCTGCATTGATTCAATTATCGAGTCCGGTACGTGTTTAAATATTTCCCACTTGTTTGTCTTCCATTACTGTCAATGTGAGCTGGTTAGATATGAGTGATTATTGGCTTCTGCTTAAATTTTTATAATGGTCAAAAACGGACAATCAAATGTTTGCATATTTTTTGTTTACTTCAGCAACTAAAGCTTGTCATGGATTCAATTATATGGGCGTTTCGGCACACCGAAAGAAATATTGCTGAAACTGGGCTGAATCTGTTGTTGGAAATGCTTAGAAACTTTCAGGTGTGATGTCGTGTGCATTTTTGTTGGTCATATTGTAATGCCATTTAAGCTCACACTGCCTTGGTTGATTTGACAGAAATCAGAGTTCTGTAATCAGTTTTACCGTACATACTTTCTGACAATCGAGCAAGAAATATTTGCTGTCTTGACTGATACATTTCATAAGCCTGGGTTCAAGTTGCATGTCTTGGTTCTTCAACATTTGTTCAGCCTGGTATTGTATCTTGTCATACCTTCTAGTTATTTTCTTGATTCATAAGCTTGCATAAATTAGAAGTCAAATGTTTACTGGTTACAGGTGGGAAGTGATCTGTTGAAGGAGCCTTTGTGGGATGTTGCAGCTGTTCCTTATCCATATCCTAATAATGGAATGTTTGTTCGTGAATATACAATAAAGCTTTTGAGTACTTCATTCCCGAACATGACTGGGGCGGAGGTATATAACTATGGTTACTATTATGTTTGTCCTTCTCTTTTTTTTTTTTTCTCTTTTTCTACGTATATCACTTACCTGAAGGTTTTCTTTGCAGGTCACTCAATTTGTGAATGGACTATTTGAATCAACTGCTGACGTACCCACTTTTAAAAATCACATCCGAGACTTCCTAGTGCAATCCAAAGAATTTTCAGCACAGGTAGGATACCATAAGCATCAGTTTAGACTCCCAATTCAGAGATGCGCATTTTTTATTTGTTGCCCATTCAGTCATGGAAGATTTGGTATTCATTTACGTTGACTAATTTTTTATGTTGATGTTAAATGTTGCATCTTCTGTTCCCGTAGAACCCCAACGTCTCTTCCAATTTTTCTTTTGCTGGGATGTGGGTAATCTGGATGTTAAACGGAATGTTGTGATTGTGCAGGACAACAAAGATCTTTATGCAGAGGAGGCTGCTGCTCAGAGAGAGAAAGATCGGCAACGAATGCTTTCTATTCCTGGACTTATTGCCCCCAATGAAATACAGGACGAAATGGTTGATTCCTAGGAGGCTAAGTTTAATGATGAAGCTAATTTCGAGGACAATTGATGGAGATGCAAATGGGCGTGTTGATTCATTCCTCAGAATCTTCCAGCGCAAATACAGCATTTTTTTTTCCCTAATTAGTTTCTGTTTTGTTTCTTAGTTCAAAATTAGTTGAATCGCAAAGGCGCCTTTAGCGTGCTGTTTGCACTGTAGCCTTTGAAATCTATTGGGATGGTAGTAGAGTATTTAGGTGCTGCTGATTTAGGGAGGAAGATATTGAGAAGGGTTTTGCTGGATCAAAATTAATCTTTTGTAGTTCGAACTCGTCAGGCGGGGTTCTTTAAAAGATGTTTATGTTATTTGTCTTAGGTGTAATATATACTAACCTCGCTGTGTTGTGCAGAAGTTCCTCATATTTTTTGTTTGTTTGTTCTAGTTTTCAATAGAACGTGGTTGCCTCGTCGATTTCATGAGGTTTAGGGCGCATATATTTTTGTTACATGGTAGGGGGAGTGAAATCTGTGTAATTCGATTGTGTTTAATGTATGTTTCTATTTGATTTAGAAATCCTCTTTAAGTTTTTGTTTCATGTGATGTTTCTTTCGTTTCTTCCTGGTTGCTTTTGTAGCTGAATGAGTAATACGCTTGTACTTCCCGCGAATTACTCTCACTTGTAGCATGCATTGTTAGCCTAAACAACTCAAACCCAAAGTTTCAACCCAATCAAACTTGTTGACGGGCAAAGCTCAATTGGCTCATACTCTATTTACTTGAAACGAGGGAAGTTACGAATTTGGAGAACACTCTTGGACTCCATGTGTTAGTAAATGCCGGTGAAGGCGGTGTAGTAATAAATGTAGGAAAAACAATGGTAGCTTAATTTTGATACTCGTTTCATATAGGTAAATATGTCCGCCCGTAGGGTAGAGCTACATTATTATTGAGCAACGAACAGCTATTACAGCTGGTGTTTATTTTTAGTGCTACATATTTATGGTCCTCGTACTATACTTGATAATTGGACCCTGATACGACGTCCTACAGCGATTTGAAGTTCCGAGTGGAGCTGGTGTTTGACCCTCTTTATATTGTCTCTGAATTTCCTCCCACTTTCAGGCGACAAAACCACTTCCAAGCTTTTTACCAACCCCTCCCTGGTAAAAACTCCACCCTCCACATTTACCCCGATCTCAAACACGTCCTCCACCATCCTTGCATTAAGCCTCTGGTCTCCAAAAAATGGCCTATAAATCATGGGCACCCCTCCTGCTATAGTCTCCATTAGCGAGTTCCAGCCTATAAATCATGGCCTATAGCCCTTATCAAAAGAGAAAGGGCCGTTCTCACAACACTAGTCTTTCTTTCCTTCTTTCAGTGATTCAGAGGAGGAGAAATGGACGGAATCTTCTAGTTACCATCATTTTATTTCCATTTTTGTTTCAACATAAAATAAATATTTATATTCAAATGTAAAAATTGGATGCGGTCTTTTCTTTCTTTTTTTTTTTTTTTTTTTTTTTTTTTTGGCAATTTGCATCCATCCAGAAAATAAAGACAACGCGACCTTTCTTTGTTGGATGCGGTCTTTCTTTCTTTACCATCATTTTATTTTATTTTTCTTTTATTTCAGCAAATTTCTCTGCCAGGCTCACGCGGGTGTTGATTCTCTCTCTCTCTCTCTCTCTCTCTCTCTCTCTAAAAATCGATCGAATCCCCTACTGATTTCTCTCTCTCTCGTCGACGACGAGCTCCCGATCAACTTCGTCCAACCCACGCAGACGAATAGAGAGAGAGGTCGAACTTTCCCTTTTCTTTCTTCGAGTATTGTGTTGATTGTTTCGTGGCCATGGGTCAAGCTTTTCGCAAGCTCTTCGACACCTTCTTCGGCAACACGGAGATGCGAGTACTCCCTCTCTCTCTCGCTATTTCACTCTTTTTTCTCTTTTCATTTTATATATTCTTTTGTATTTCGTCCGATTTTTGTAGCTTTTTTGTTCTGTTTTCCTACCATTTTTTGGTCGTTTGATAATTATATCTGTGCAGGGATTAGGGATATCTAGGGTTCATACAGTAATGGTTTTTTTTTGTTTGCTAGGTCAATTCTTCGATCGGAGGAGTTGATGCCGTCATTAATTAGATAACATATTCATTTAGGAATTTATTTGGCTCTATATTTCTTAAATTATTCATGATTAGATAATATTCTACGATCACATTAATACCATACCCTCGCCCGATTAATTGTACATTTTTTTTGTCAAACGATAAATTTTGTTAGATTAGATGTTAGATTAGCTACCAATGGGGTTCGAATATATGCCGTCATGCAAGGGCTCAACACCTTTCCGTCACTGTGGTAAATGGCCGCTTGCTTAATTGTACATGTTTGTATTCCTATAAAAGTGCATCAATTACGGCTTGTGTAAGTGTGCGTTCATTGTATGCTAAATCATCAATTCCCGGTTAGATTTTCATTGCCTCCATTTGATTATGTTTAGTCGGTGATTAGCATTACTCTGACCCGCTTTTCATATTTGCGCGGTGGCATAGGTTGTAATGCTTGGCCTCGACGCAGCTGGTAAAACAACCATCCTTTACAAGCTGCACATTGGAGAAGTTTTGTCAACTGTTCCTACAATAGGTGGGTTTTGTTTCTCTGATCGCTAGTATCGGACTTCTTGATACATCGGGGTTTTGATGTTGGGGAGTTCTCACCTATGTAATATACGTCAGCGGTTGTGATACCGGTTGTTTAGATTTTTCGGTTAAGGCATTTCTTTCTTTGTCTCAACAGGTTTCAATGTGGAGAAAGTTCAGTACAAGAATGTGATGTTCACTGTTTGGGATGTCGGTGGACAAGAGAAACTAAGGCCACTCTGGAGGCATTACTTTAATAACACTGACGGACTGGTAATGGAGCTTTCTCTGGTCTTCTTCTACTGTATCATGGTTCTTGAATATTGCTAGTCAGTTGTCCCGGTTCACCTTTCTCAGCTTTGTAATAGGTCAATGGATAGAAGGTTCTAGATATCCTTAACATGTATTATTTTCCATGTACAGATTTACGTTGTTGATTCCTTGGACAGAGAGAGAATTGGAAGAGCAAAGGCAGAATTTCAGGTTGTATGCTCGGCCATGCGGTACAGTTTAAATACAAGTGCGCCTATATGTTTCTCACTTATCTTTCTTCTTTTCAGGCCATCATCAGTGATCCATTTATGCGCAACAGTGTCATCCTGGTGTTTGCTAATAAACAGGATATGGTATGTTGTAGTGTTCGTTTATCTGCATATTGCATGATGATGTAAAGTTCATGATTTCAACGAACATAAGAATGTGCAAGTTATTTGTGCTAGGGGTGTCTGACTATTTGGTCTCCAAGTTAGAGATGGGACAGTGGATTATGGCCTTTCTTCTGTATTCTACAATTATTTGTGCTAGGAATTTGGGATTTGGGCTACATTGTTCTAGATGCATGAGATGTTAACCTCAAGTATTGAGGTCCCAAATTAGAGTGCTTAAATTACAATCTACCTATTGAAAAAACAGTAGTATTTACATTCAGTCTTTTTCATTTGCTTTTGGAGGTGGCCAAAACTTTTGGTCACAAGGGTAACTAAACCCCAGACCTACCCCTTCATTCCATCCCACTCACGCAACTTGAAACTCACGGGTGATAATGCTTTGCTTTTCATAGTAGTTTATTCAGCCTACGTACCAACATAACAAATGTAATTTAGACTCTGGGCAGTAGGCTTACTGATCCCCTGTCAGAGGTCATGTACTTATTTCTTGTCGGCAAGTTTATTCATGTCAAGCAATCAGCAGTCCAGAGTGTACATGATTCTGAATTGTTGGTTCCTTCTTGGAAACTTGGTTTGAGTTATTTAATTGTCGTTTTCCTATCCAGAAAGGAGCTATGTCGCCAATGGAAGTGTGTGAAGGACTAGGCCTCTATGATCTCAAGAACAGAAAATGGCACATACAAGGGACTTGTGCCCTTAGAGGTGATGGCCTTTACGAAGGGTTGGATTGGTTATCTAGCACGCTGAAAGAGATGAGAGCTGCTGGATACTCTTCAGTGGGCACCTCGTCATTCTAACAGTTGAGGTTGATGCTTTTACTTTTCAATGTTTACCAGCTTAGTTGGCAAGGCAAGTCCTCAAATAAATGTTTATTCTTTGTATTTCCGCAGGTTTATTAGGATTCTTGGGTCTGTCAATCAAAATTGACGACGAGCTGAAGAGTTGGTCATGTGTTCATCCAAAAGTCCCTGGAGTGTAATCAACTTCCCCCCCCCTTCTTTTTGAGAGTTTAGTCGGTGCTTCCTCCTGGACTTGCTTTGACATTCAGACATGTAACCTATTCCGATGTATATTCCAAATCGCCAGGTTGTGCAATCGATGAGTATTTGCCGCTACTATGTAAGATTTGGATTTTGCCCCTTGAAAAATATTGTTTTCGTATTTGTAGATGATTGATGATGCTCGACCTCAAGTCCGCAGGTGCCTACTTTTTGAGAGATAATGGGTATGATCGCTCGTGTTACGTTGTTTGTCTGTCCAAGACACACACTAGTGTCCCCTTGCATTCGCGTCCCGCACAGGCCTATTTGGATTCAGTAACAAAAAGTTATCGGGCAAACCCGCTATTTGAATCGTGTTGATTTTTCATTTTTCACTTCCAAAAGGCTCAAGACGTTTCTAAATGCACAAAACGTTAAATCAATAGCAAAGGCATTGTACAAGCGGGCAATATAAAGTTGCTCAACAAATGCGTTAAAACAAAGCATCAGAAAAACTGTTACTACCAACTACATCAGGTAAAGCCGGAACTGACGAGCTCTCAACCACATCGCCGGAAAACTAAGAATCATTGGTCTGCACTGAATTTGCGTCTGATGATCCCACTATATCTTCAAAAGCTTCCATGGCGATGGTCATATCATTATCGATATCAGCTTGCTCTACCTCTGACATAACTTGATCCATATCGCCGCTTACCATAGGTTCCACCCCATTTTGCGCTACTGAATCAGAGTGAATTTTAGCTTCTTCAATTGCTTTGTCTGGTTCAACTGAATTTTGCACCGTGGATTGTGGATATGGATCCGTTGAGGCTGTCAGCATCATAGACGTCACCAATAGATTCTACAAGCAAGAAAATGCTAGTTGTAATGCTACGAATCAAAGGTTTTAAGAAAACTAATATGTAAGTTGTAGCTTTTATATACTTCAATATTAGTTAAATTAAGGTGGCAAGGATTAACTTGAAAAGATAAATTGTCAGATAAAAAGAACATCAGAAATCAAGGAAAACATTTCCATCAGGTTTTTGAATACTATACCTTTTCTAATGCAAGAGCAAGCTTTGAGGGATTTGGATAGATTCTTTTTGCATCCAATAGGATCTGTTTGACAAAAACATTCACCGAAAAAACAAAGAAAGATCTGGTAAAGAGATGTATATTGTAACAGAGCAAAGGAATAGTAGTATGTTAAACGTATCAAACACAAAAATGTGTGCAAGCACTCGCTAAAGGTAGGCTAACAGTGCAGTAGGGTGAAAAGAGGGGCGAGAGAGTAGTAGCAGTTTTAGAAAAGATAAGACAAATTCAACCCAACTAATTCAATAATCCCGGAGCTCGAAAAGTGTCAACCAAAGAGATGAAAGCCACAATCATGAAGAATAACACAGAGATGTAAGAATACACACCTCGCAAAGCCTCTGAAGGGTAAACGGAGGACCTTCAGTAAAACTATGAAGAGCTGCAATGAAGAAGCAAGCTATAAGCAATTATCATTGAAAAAAGGAACTGAAAATTTTATAAAATTATAAGACTGCAACACCATAGACTAGTCCAAGTACATCATCCCACCCATTTTTCATCAAAACCCAGAATGACCTAGACTGCCAGTACATGCGACACTGGTTTTAGATCACACTGATCTCACCGAATACCAAAAGGCAGCAACACATATAATGACCCACCAATCAAGTTACATGATCAGGCGAATGAGAATACCTTCATCCAACCTCTTCACCAGCTCAGGATAGGTTTCTCCTAGAGAAGCAATTTGCTGCTCACTCGCCATTTCTTCCTCAGGATAATCCAACAGAACCTTCACAAATCCAAGAATAAGAGCGATAGAGAGTTGGAAAGAGAGAGAACGATACATAAATCATAAACAGGGAACCAGAAAGCAATCATGTACATCCATTAAGAGTGTTTGTGTGCAAGTGCAAACATGCATACGGTGACAACCATAAATAGCTGAAGGCCCCACATGCTGGCATACCTCCCCATACCTGCTTCAGTTGAAAGGATAGCATGCTCATTAATTTGTCCCAATCATGCCTGTAACATATGAATAACAAGAACGATTAATTACCAAGCAGACTGTTTGTTTTTTGTGCATCATGCCAAAGAGTAAACACAATCAAATACACATAAATGACATGCACCAAAAATAATTTACTAATATATTAAACACAGATGAGGGAGTTACACATTGAAGATGACAGGTTACCAAAATTTCCCGGTGGATGCAATAACTTGTAGTATGCCTCTAACTTCTGTTTCAGAAACCTCCAGCTTCGACTCTTTACCTCTAAAATATCAAGTTCAACAATACTTTCTTAATATGAATCAAAAACAAAACAAATGAGTAACATAAATTGCGGAAAGGAGACTTTCGAGCCCTTAATATGACGTGAAAAAGTAAATTTTCTTAACATCATCTCAATTATAGGGAAAAAACAATTACTGATCCCGAAATGATGGAAGTTACTAAAAATGCATACTGACTAGATCTCTTAACAATTGAATTTCTACTAGACTGGATAAATATACTATGATGTCATGGTATCGTCCATTCATAGGGAAAACTATATGAAAAGTAGCATGATCCCTCACTACGTGAATGTGAAAGTTCTCTGATCCTTAAAACGTCCCTCGGGGTCAATAGCACATTGTATTCTGTTATAAATGAAGAGCATCAATAAGGCCCTGTAGTGTATAGAAAACATACGTGTGCTTTCACAGGTGGTATAATATATTAAGCTACAAGCGCCTTGCAAACCAACTTGAAATTCAAAATTAGATAAGAAGTATGTATTAAAACGTATAGGGAAAGAAGAGTTTACAGATTATCTACGCCGTCGGAAAGCATGGCCTCCTGTTGATGATCAGCATCACTGGTAGAATTCATTGAGGGCTGTGAATTTTCATTTGATGGCATCTCCATTTAGAGCCCTCTTAACCTACAATTCACGATAAAAATTAAAAATCCATTTCGCTGCTGAAAAATAACATTTACTTAAATTTCTCAACTTTAACACAAATTTGAATTCCAGCAACTTGAAACTTGTAATAACTTGCACAAGTAAAAATAAAAATGCTACATCAAGTAAATTTTGAAACTTTATGCTCTCGCACTCCGTTTGGTTGCCGAGAAAAATCGAGCAAGGCTTCGCCAGATAAATCAGAAAACACTAACTCGCACAAATTCTGTAGTTTACGGCACCTAAAAATAAAAAATAAAAAAAGAGCAGCAAAGTCTTCCATCTTTTCACGGCGGGGCGTTTTCCCGGCAACCAAACAGAAAAGAGAAGATTGAGATAGAGATGAGCAGGACTTACCAAGCTTTGGGTTTTGCTGAGAGCCCAACCGAACCGGATCAAATCGAATCGCTGTTTAGAGAGAGAGAGAGAGAAGAGAGAGAGAGAGAGAAGGAGGGGAGACAGAGTGGTGGTAGCAGTCCAAAGTGTTGAACGGGAATGGTCCCTGCGAGGCTGTCAGTAGTGTTGTCACAGTGACCAACAACCGCGGCTGGGCAATGCTCATGGAGGCCTATGGTGACTTGGGCCTTATATACACTGACGATATTTTAAGTTAATTATGTAATGTTATGAGTAATTCGCATAAAATGTTTGATTGTCTCTAATATTGTTTGGAAGATTCTATGTCATCAATCGATACTTGTTATTCTTATTTTGATTCCTTGACTTGATTTGTCCGATGAGAAATGTGAAACGAAAGAAAGATTCTCCTGCTTGGGAATTATATCCCAACTTAAAATCGTGTTATTATAAAATTCTTATTGCATGAAAGTTTTGTACCTTTGAAAATTAATTAGGTTTACTCTTTCTCCATGGAATTGTTGGGTTGATGCCAAATGTAGTGGATTAAAGAATCCATATGGAAAAAAATACCATATCTTGCAGTAATTTAAGATACCTCGAAAACCTTTTTCTTAAAAGGTAGTTTTTTTCCCCTAAGCGGCAGGAAAAGAGATTTGAACTTGAGTGCAGAAATAGGAGCATGTTGTTCCATTTAACTTGAATAAGCCAAATTTTGTTATGGGATAGCGACTAAACCTAAAAGTGCATTCCTTTCCAACGTTGAATGAAGTCCAAGTTCAAATATCTCCCGTTGATTAAAAAAAAAAAAAAAAAAAAAAAAAAAAGAAAGACGGTCCACCTCACCATGTTGACTGATTTGACCTTATTGAGAAATTTTCTTCATGCATGTAGTAAATAAGTGTAGTAATAAAACAATAATTCATTCAAAAAACCATTAACTTATATATATATATATATATATATATATATATATATTAATTATACTATTAAGGGGGAAATAAAAAAGCTAAAACTGCCGGAAGGCAAATTGGCCTTTTCATGATGTCTTCCAACACATTGTGACGACAACAATATACAGAGATTCAGTTCCCCTACAACTTCATTTGACAAAACAAACATAAAAGATTTACATACAATAATAAGCAGCCGTTATCCAAAGCTATGGCTCGAATTAACAAAAAAATTGGAAAAGATACTAACTAAAATCCCTGAAAATGCACCACGAAGTTTCTTCTGTCTACTCTTAGTCTCGGTGAAATGTTTCATCGGTGACAGTTTCATCGATGTCACCATCACCGGGAAGGATGTTCAGATGCTTGACCGCTAGGAGAAGGATTTAACGAATTGGAAGGGCCATTCTCTTGAGGGGGCGCCCCACCCCACTTCAGCTCTACATCAGACGGTTCAACTACATGCACTGAGCCGTCAGTCATGCCAAGTGCAATCTGATTCGGCTCAGATGGATGAGCTGCTATAACCAAAGGGTAGCTGGGGTTTCCGCTGCAGATGATTTTCCATCAGCAAATAGCAAATGAATTTACAAATAAAAGAACAAAGGTTTCGATTCAACAAACGGCATAATACTATTTTCGGCTCACCTGAGAGAAAATGATGGTATATAAGCAGTAGGTGCTACTCGACATCTGAGTCTTAAGGTATCAGCATCAAAAACTCCAACAGCACCGTCACAAAATGAAGCATAAACCAGTAGACCATCACATGAATATATTGCACTTGATATGGGAGCAGCGAGTGCATCTTTCGGAGACCACTATCATCACAGAGGTGAAGAAAAGTCAAATTACAATAAAGGAAGGAAAAGTCAATTAAAAAATGGAAATCAAGTTTCTTGCATATCGATCTGCGAAGCAGAAAAATTAATGAGAAACTACGACGCAAGGACTGCCAGGTGAAAACTTACTGAGCGCAAACATTCAAGCTTGCAATCGTACACAGCAATTTGGCTTTCATGGGCAACCAACAGGTGTTTGTGATCATTATGAAACTGAACTTTTGTTTCTCCAACCATCGGGGGTTGACGACCAGCTGGTGCTTGTATGAACCTTGTTTTCTTTTTCTCCCATCCATCAATGCTCCACACACATAACTGTAATCGCGGTACAAATAAAACTATCATGCAACTAGAATTTATGGACTCAAAAAACAAATAATTGCAATTAAATAAGAGAATTAATAGTGCCTAATATTTTCCAGTTAGAGCAGTGGCTCATCATAATGATCCAAACATTGTATTCAGTCGTCGGATAACAATACTCTATCTGTAAGTGTGTGAAACACCTCCATCCATATTATTCTCGCCTTTTAATTAAGGCATTACATTCACCTTCCCCAAACAAAAAAAGCCAACTAGTCACACGAAACAAATAAATGAGCAGCAACCTCAATGTCCCTCTTGAGGTTAGGAAATAACTGCTATGCTTGTCATAGAAATAAAAACTTTAACCAGTCACTCACCTGGGTATCAGCACCTGAAGATACCAGTACATTAAGATTTTGGGAAAATGCAAGGCCTGTAATCCGATTCTGGTGACCTTTCAGTTTGGTTTTGACCTGAAAATCTCATCCAAGGTTTGGCTTGTCAGATAACCAGACAACCGAGCAAAAAAGCTAAAAGCCATCAAGCAACAATTCCAAAGAAAACCAAGGAAGATACTTTACCTCATCAACCCTAACATTAAATATTAATATAGTAGAATCCTCCATGCCAATTGCAATTATATTATTGTCTTGAGGATGAAATGCCAAAAAAGTGGCAGCGGGAGGGGGAGATACAAATGTTGTCATGACCTGCAAAGCAATTACCAGGTGGATTCAGTCAACAAGATAAGTTAAACAGATCGCAATATGTAAGAATGGCTATGTCGGTAAGGGAATCAGCCCTGTATGTGGAGCCAGACTAAAAATCAATAGAACGAGAAGGCACAAACACAAAAGTGTGGTGTAAACCTTTGTAAATGGTTCTAAAAGAAGGCATCAATAACATACCTTAAATGTCATCATGTTGAACAAAGAGACCTTCCCACCAGATGCAGACATGACGTAAGAATCATTTTTGGATAAAGCAATGCATGCAATAGATTCCTCAGCTGGTTTATTGTCATTTACATCATTAGTCATAAGAGTTCCATTGGGTGGCTGCCACAACTGTGGTGCAACATATGTACTAGCCTGAAATTTTTTTAATAGAAAAGCATAAACAAAACAAAACTGCATGATAGAAATTTATAATGAAACACATAAGATACACAACAGGCACAGATTCGCTTGAGGGAAAAAAAGAAGCCAGACCTTCCCGGATGGATTCCTTTCATTGCGCTGCCATTTCCAGAGCTTGTGAACAGCATTGGAGGCAAGTGCTAACAGAGCTAGGCCATTGTTGGTGTACATTAGTCTCACAATCTGCAACTATAAAATAATTTCTTCAATTATGGTATTGTGGAATCTACATAGTAAAAGTAAACAATCTAGCTCACGACAGTACATACGTATCTGTTGATTAATTGGCACCAGTTTTAGAGACAAAACGAACATAAGTATGTTCACTAACCAGATAAAATCTGCTTTATTTTGGGTTAAAAAACGTAAAATTAGGGTTTTCTGTTAATCAGAATTGACAAGATCCTCTCTTGTTATTGCTGCTCAGTTTTATACTCCCCCACAGAGACGAGATATGTATAAACTCATCCAAGGTCCATCCTCTATACCTTTCCAGCAGTTGTAGAGTCGGGCAGTCGCAGAGCTTTCATTTGAGAGGGATCCGCAACATCAGAAAATTTCCAGCTCTTAATCTTGTCTATATCATCAGAAATCCGTGGTTTAACATCAACAAGCCTGCTGTTCTCCATAGTACCCTGCAGTGAAAAACCAATATAAACCAACGAACATAAAAAGCTTAAATAATTCCATATAACTTAAACTTACTAGATTACTGATAGACACAACTGGTTGTATTCTATCAGGGCGTTCCAGGGATGGAACAACAGTGTTGGGAACATTCACAATGGCGCCTATTGCATTAACCATCAGAGGCTGCTAGAAGAAAATTAACAAAAGGCAAGCAATAAAACTTGACATGAGAACCTCACTGGCAACTAGAAGCAATAAAACTTGACACGAGAATCTCGATGGCAAAGTAGAAATGTAACTATTGATAACTAATCAGACAAAAAACAAATAATGTCAGCAAGCATTTTGCAAATATGGACTTAAGGACCACAGAAGAAAACTTACCTTAGAGTTGATGGGCTCAGAAGTGCCTCGATTTTTCTCAATAGCCCTTCCCTCTAACATTCTAACCAAGCGCAAGCCATCATTATTTGCTAAAATCTTAATACCACTGTCATTCGTTGTTACAGCCAACAGTGACCCTTCTTTATTGAATCTCAGCCTAGGACTAGCCTGCAAAAATTAGAAGGGCAAAACATTTAATGTGACTTATTCACTCTTCAAGTTGAATGGTATTGATGAAATGTATAGCTGAGTGCTACTGACAGGCAAACCGCCATCTGCATCCACAGTTGCCAACACATTGGTATTGTCCATATCCCAGAACTTAATTTGAAATTCATCACCAGCAGCTAAGAATCGGTTCCTTGTTGTGTCAAACTGAACAACATCTAAACAGCGTTTTCTAAAACCAGAATATGTCCGTTTGATAGCCCCTTCACTCTCATTCCACTCCACCAGATGGGATTCACCTTCTTTACTTGTTCCACAGGAAAAGAGTCTGCATGCACCATATGTATCTTCATTATGTATACGTATGCATTTGGGACATATAATTAATGGCTTACCATTTAAATTGAAATTTTCAGGAAAAAAAAAAAGACGAGGAGGGCTGAAGGGGGGAGCTGGGAAAATAGCTGTATTTTTCATCCAATAAAGCCCGCATCATTAGTAATGAAAAAGCTTCCATGCAGATATATTAATCCAATAATTTTATGTCAAACTATAATCTGCAACAGACAAATATACAATGGAGCACAAATTTTACCTGGTTCCATCTGCACTATATGACATCAGTAGTGCACCAAAGTCCAGGAGCATCATAGTCCACTCGTGATCCCAAGCAATCATATAGCCAAGCTTTAATCTTCCCGTCAATGGCAGTTGAAAAAATGAACTGCCACAACGAAAAATGGCAATGTTATATACTAGGTCAGGAGGATGGGAGCTTATCTGAAAAGACAA